AAGCAGGAGCGAAAGAATAAACAAATCACAATGTTCGTTTCCGGGCCTTGTGATTGGTTGGTTCTTCCGTTTCTGCTTCCGACTCCGACGATGTAGTTTTCACTGGATCATAAACGACGGAGCCGTAAACGGAATCGGACGCAATGGAAACGTTCTGATTCTTCCGACTCCGATTCCGTCGAGCTTATGACTCCGCTTACGACTCTCATTTTTGATTTTCACTAATTAAAAACGCTCTTACGACTCCGACTACGACTCCGACTCCGACGCCGACTCCGTCGTTACTGAAAACCAGCCTTGTAAGGAAACATAAATTATACTCTAATATGTTGATTATTTTCTTTGCAGAGTGTAGTAAACTTTGCTTGAAAGATCTGAGCGATGATATCACCGTAGAATTGAGTCTAAGGCTACAAGCTGATGGGGCTGCGTTACGAAAATTCTATCAATTTTTCGGTTTCAAAACGAGAGGCCGGTATCTGTCAAGATTCCCATTAGAAGAATTTAAAAAAATGTTTCCCGACACTACAGTCAGCGTGTTGAAAGAGTGTTTTGAGGTCCTGCGGTTGTACGATCTCGTTGAGATTCTGGAAAAAGTGAAACCACGTTCCCTCCGCCCCGCTGTTTCCCCAGAGCAAATAGAAAAATTGCGGAGAGCAGATGATCGGCCCACAAAGTATCACAGTGATGTAGCAGTCTTGGTTGTCAATCACACTGTCGGCCACGAAGAGGACCTTGTTGTCAAGGAAAACGCAGAAAAGATTGAAAAATTTCTTAAAGATCTGAATTCGCGGAACGAAGTGACGATAATATCATTGGCTAGTCCACAAGAGACCCGTGAGTTTCTGATGGAGCTAAAAGAGAGAAACCGCAGAATAGGATACCACCGTTTCTCAGAAGAAAGACCCAAGAGTATACTTCAACAGAGGGCGCGTTTACATGAGGAATTGGAGAAAGTAACACAGACGGAGATAGGGCGTAAACAAAGACAGAGACTGCAACGGCTACTGCAGTTTAGAGGTGAAGTGGTAAACGCTGAAAAAGCGGCAAAAAGGGATATGGAAAAGCTGCAAGAGCTAGAGAAGGAGAATACCAAAGCTATATCAACGGCTATGGACAAATGGATTCACAATCAAGGTTAGTTGACTTCATATACATACATACATGACATACATGTTTATTCAAATTAATTCGAAAAGGGAATTTCAATATAACTCTCCTAAAAAAGAATAAAAATTACAATTAAAATTACATTAAAAGTTATTGAAGGAGGAAAAAAAATCTATTTGGTACATTACAATTTTAAAAATGATCTGAGTCTTAATTTAAAGAGTTCGAGGCTTCCCGCTTCAACAATGTTCTTAGGTAGACTGTTCCAATCACCAGTTACTCTAATGAAAAACGAATCTTTAAAACAGTAGATTCNCGGCCCACAAAGTATCACAGTGATGTGGCAGTCTTGGTTGTCAATTATACTGTCGGCCAAGAGGATATCAGGGAAAACGCAGAAAAGATTGAAACATTTTTTAAAGATCTGAATTCGCGGAACGAAGTAACGATAATATCATTGGCTAGTTCACAAGAGACCCGTGAGTTTCTGAGGGAGCTAAAAGAGAGAAACCGCGGAATAAGATACTACCGTTTGAGAGAGGAAAACCTCGAGAGTGTACTTCAAAGGCAGGCGCATTTAGAGAAGGAATTGGAGAAAGTAATGCAGATGGAGAAAGGGCGTAAACAAAGGCGGAGACCGGAACTGGAACTGAGTGAGGTTAAAGAGGGAGAGCTGTGGCTTAGAGGTGAACTGGAAAACGTTGCAAAAGTGAAAAGGGATATCGAAAAGCTGAAAGAGCTAGAGAAGGAGAATACGAAAGCTATATCAACGGCTATGAACAAATGGATTCACAATAAGGTTAGTTGGCTTCATATACATATATACATGACATACATGTTTATTCAAATTAATCCGAAAAGGGAGTTTTAATATAACTCTCCTAAAAAGAATAAAAGTTACAATTAAAATTACATTAAAAGTTATTGACCGAGCAAAAAAAATCTGTTTGGTAAATTACAATTTTAAACATTATCCGAGTCTTAATTTAAAGAGTTCGAGGCTTCCCGCTTCAACAATGTTCTTAGGTAAACTGTTCCAATCACCAGTTACTCTAATGAAAAACGAATCTTTAAAACAGTAGATTCTAGTTGATTTAAAGGAAAGTTCATATCAGTTTCATGAGCATGTTTAACGTACGCAGCGAATAAAGATGATTTCCAAGTATGACAAAGCCACTGATTCAAATTGAGTAAAACTTGATATCTGTGCCTCGACGAAAATCAAGTTGTGCTTTCCACAGTCTGTTTCATTATTGTTCAATCTCATTTAAGGTTTGTTATCATTTCTTCTATATTGAACCATTTTTTGCAATCTGTTAGCCGTGGTCAATAGTGATGTATCTATTGCTTCCCTATGTTCTTGGTGTTTTTGCTTGACTAAGATGACCTTTGATTTTTTTAAAATTTTTTTTTGCTATAGAGAAATTCACCTGTGTTGCGGTATTTACAATCAGTGAAGACGAGTTGTACACTGGAGCAGTTTTGGAAGAATGTATTGTTGAGAAGTTGGCATTAATTCCAGATCATGCCAAACTCGTGGTTAGCCCTCGCGCCACATGGAAAAGCAGTGTTGAAGTTCCTGAAACTCTTCATGTAGTGTATCGTGATCGCGGAGTAGTACCAGTCATCACTCGGATGATTGAGATTTTCAACAAGCGTTGGCAAACATTGGATCTTATTTCCATGATGCAAGAATTAAAAAGATCTGAAGCCACAGCTTATCGGTCAAAGATTTTCAGAGTCAAGGATTTTCAGAGTAGGTTTTATGGGGGTCCTTGCATGTCTATCAAGGGCGATAGTTTGTCTAGCCTTCCGACATTTCAGAAAAAAGAAGAGGAGCATTCCTCTTAAATGACATGTACCGTGTGTTTAGCGCTTGGTTACCGACTGATTCTAAGCTAGCAAGTTCTGCAATTGTTTACAGGTTTAGTCACTGCCAGCGCCCTCTTTCTTATTTTTCGTCAGTAATTTACGCAAACCCTACACGTTTCCACAGTACAGGCTATCAAAGCGTTTTTTAGCTCCCGGTGAACCTTCACTTTACAAAGTTAGTCGTCTAATTTTCAGTAATCTAAATACAGCGGAATTCAGAACGGTTTTCAATTGAGTCTTATTCAGAATTTTTTTTTATTAATTCTGTTTGCCTCACTTCGCCCTGTGATTGGCTTACAAAATTCGTTTTTACTGGACCGGACATGAGAAAGGTCAAAGCCGATTTTGGATATATTAGATTTCCCGCGTTTTCATTGGCGTTACTTGTATTTGATTCTTGCTATCAGTGGTTCATTGCATTGTTTGTGCTGATTGCACTTAGCATCGTTTATTGGATTCGTTTTGTTGTTTGACTCTCAATTGAAAACCGCTCTTAGTATACTGGTTTAGTTGTTATGAGCGGATTACTATATATTTAGTGCTCACTGTCATGTTGTTAGACTCAGTCAAACAAGCTGCATNAAAGGTCAAAGCCGATTTTGGATATATTAGATTTCCCGCGTTTTCATTGGCGTTACTTGTATTTGATTCTTGCTATCAGTGGTTCATTGCATTGTTTGTGCTGATTGCACTTAGCATCGTTTATTGGATTCGTTTTGTTGTTTGACTCTCAATTGAAAACCGCTCTTAGTATACTGGTTTAGTTGTTATGAGCGGATTACTATATATTTAGTGCTCACTGTCATGTTGTTAGACTCAGTCAAACAAGCTGCATTCTGTGACGTGTACTTTTGCTTTCGTAACACGCACAATGAGTGAATTATAGTTAAGCCTATCCTTTGTGAGAGTCTATGATAAATAAATTAGGTTTTTTCGAACTCCGTGCGCGTTTACTTTGTTAGGCTTGAAAACTTGGAAAAAGAAATCCAGGTCATTTACGGCCATGTTTACCGGTTTGTCACTTGACCGGCTGACTGGACCTCTTATAGTGACATGCCTCGCGGTTAGGTCTTTCCCGTTTTTTGTTGCCGTCCCCGCAAATTTTTAATTTTTCGGTCTTTCCAAGTCAGGGTAGAAGCCAACAATGCCATTGATATGTTCTAGATCATTTTTAGTCTGCTATTTCTTACCTGTCTTACGTTCAGTTAAATCCTCTGAGCACGCGCTTTTCTTAGTGAGGGCCATTCTCGTCCCCAGTGCTACTCGTCTTAAAATGTCGTTGACGAGTAGCTCTGGACGCACCCAAAAATTCGAATTTTTTCATTGGCTGACAAAAAATGAATGCGCAGCAGAAATGAAAATTACAAACCTCTACGCATTCCATTTTACTTCCGGCCCAGATGGCGGCACCTCATTCTCGTCCCCAGTGCTACTCGTCTTAAAATGTCGTTGACGAGTAGCTCCCTCCGTTTCTCCGACCACGTGACCAAAAGAAACGGAGGCTCTGGGGACGAGAATGAGTGAGGGCCTCCCAGGGATTTTGCGAAACAAATGAGCATGATCATTTATTATTTCAAGGGAACCAAGTAAATTGTTTTGATTCATTTGAGGGAGCAAGGGACTCATCTAATATTGATCGGAACTTCGGCTAAAAATTTTGGCGAACAATGTATTTGTTAATGGTAGAAAATGCGAAATTGTCACGGGATTAGGGGAACATATATTCTCCCTGGAAGTCCTCACTTGGAACCCGTTTCATAAAGCAGACAGGCTTTTTTTTTATCACTGTGCAAAGTTATGGAAATTATTATTTTTTAGCTAGTTATTTCTCTGAAAACGGAATTTGATAAAGGAGACAAATGATTTAACATTGATAGTTTGCAACCAAGAACTTGAGTGAAATGACAAAGGCGTGGCGGCCATGTTAGAAGACACATAATGCATTCCAACATGGAAAATCAAGAATTGGTGTATCAACTCTTGCAAACTTCGTTTTCTTATTGCCCCATTTTAGATGATACTCTGGAGAATATTCACACTCAGAACATAAAATATGAACACAGATGGATTAAGAGAACTTAGACCGAAGTAAATGCACGACTCTCTCCCAGAGCTGCTGCTCCTCTTTGCTGCTTAACATTCAAGCAGAAACGGCAGAGATCACGCGGGAAATGCTGATTGAGTGATATGTGCACCAGGATTGAATTGCCGTGCGTGTACTTCCGAATTATACCATTCTTCCAAGTTTCGTTAATTCAAATTTAAATGAGCGAGGAATTCTTTTCGAACCCCATTTAAGTGGCCACTCTCGGGGAAATGCGTGGTACGTGGCCACTTAACATAGGGGTTGAGTTGGGTTCGTGAGGAATTGGCACAAAACTTAATTGAAGCGTCAATTAATTCAATTACAAACATGCCTGAAGACTTGTGACCACTGTTGCACATGATAAGACTACCGATCACTCTTTTCCTGATTCACTTGTCAAAAAAATACCATACGCACTCTACACTGAAGTTATTTTTTTTCATCTTTGGGTTAATTGCTTTGTTTACATGGAACCACGCCAAATGATCATAATAAACGTGTGTTTCAATGTTCTTATCAGTCTTGACTTTCAGTTTCGGACTGTTATCAGTCATTACCTTTTCCAAAACAAAGCCAAACTATGTGAGCTTTATATGCGTATAAAATTTTGGGTTGCCAATAAAAAACCCTCATCGGGACGGCCAAACGATGGCCGCGGCGACTCAGTATAGGTGGTTTTTATTTACAGGATTTTACCGACAATAAGTTTGGGACTTTGATATCTGGCCGCCTAATAGGGGGTGACCGCTTAATAGTGTAGGTGGCCGTGGTCGACTGTACATGTATGGGTAGAAGTTCCTGGCCACCCTGCTGTTATACCTCCATTACTGTTGTGAGTTTTTTTTAGCGAGGGGTTAGAGATCGATTTTAATTTTTTGATTTGCATGTGGTGGTTAAGTGGTATTGTACATCAGGCAAAGACTAGGAAAATATGTTTTGAAAACGGCAAGTTGATTTTAACTTTCTAAAGGGAGAGACCTATATAATCTACACTTAAAATCGATCTTCAGCGGTTATACGAGTTTTAAACATGACCGATCAAAGCGGAGAGGATGTTCTCTTGAAGAAAGTCCCTCCTTCATAATGGTTTTCGTCGTAACTCGGTCGATAGACCATCTTGTTAAGCTGGTGTATTTTGGTCGCACCAAAGATCACCAGATGTCTGACCGAAGTGTCGTGTCGGACTTGAAGACGGTGCGAATTCCTTGCTGTTCAAGGAGCAGCGGAGAGACTCCCTGGACATAAGATATTCCCTGGACGTAAGGTGAGACGTTTAAACTCTCCCACAGGATCTCTTCTTGGGTCTGTTTTTGTCTTTGTGCACAAAAAAGGAGGCATATCCGTTAGAAAAAAATATATAGATGCGAGATTGATTCAAGTTTTTTTGCTTTCAAAATAAAAAAATGCTTCTCTGGCCTGGCTGATCCTTTCACAGTTTGAGCAGGGGTGGATACAGGAAGTTTCAAAGGGGGTGGCTGGTACCTGATACCTTAGGGTTGCAGAATAAATGGGAAACACCCCCAAAATGTTGCAATTTGAGAATTAGAACCTTTAAAAACTGTTACGCCAGAAACAATGTATTTTTATCACAATTTAAGTTTATCGGTTTTTAAGGGTGCTCTGGGATGCTTGGCTGGGTATAAAGCTGACCACACGCAATGAGTACCCGGATCTGTGGAATAATGTCAAAGGAGAGAGAGGGAATGTTTCTTTGCTTCTCTAGCAGCATGAATGGTGTTTGGTTGTTTCGAACAACTACACGTATATTAGGGGAGAGGGCAGGGGGCTGGGTTGCATGTTACTTAAAAAGAGGTAGATTTGCACGAGTGCATTCAAAGGGGAAGTTAACCATTTACAAAACATTTCCATCGGAAGGAGCGTGTTTTATTGAATGCAAGTCTTATTCGTTCGCAGGCTTCTCTTCTCAGGCATATTCGATTCGATCGATGCATTTAAAAGTCATTTCAGAATGGCAAGAGCCACCGTGAAAGCGTTATGCAGAGAAGAAACTCTAGTGCTATTTTCTTGAACACCACTTTCGTCGTCGATTTCCCGCGAAACGCGTGCTTGGTATCTGCGTATGTTGTTGTGAGAACTCCTTACATCAGTATCTTCTCTATCGATCTTCCCATCGTTCTAGAATTGCAGACGATTCTAGTGGACCCTCTGCATCATCGCGGTTGGTTGCACCTGCCGGGAACCCACTTGAAACGGTTGAAATGATAGCTGAGATAAAAGAATTACAACAAAAACCCGAGCAAATTCAAGCTTAAACAGACACCTTTTGTGAGACAGAATTTTTACGACGGGAAACACTTGCTCAAAGACAGATTTCACCTACCGTTTAAATATGTGGCACAATCATGATAAAGTAAATTATTTTTGCAAATCATATGCCAGACAGTGGCGAACAGAACACTCCTACAAATTGTCAGGAATTGTCTGCAGGCCTGCAGAAGGAGCCTGGCTGCGAAAATGACCGTGAAAGGCTTGAGATAGTAGATGGAACAAATTTCCATCGGGAAAGTTTACAACGGGGAAAACAGGACTACCTTTTAATAAATTCTTTCTCTTTCGGAAATTTTCCTGCAGTGGAACGAACCAAAAAGTCGTGTTCCATTGACATTCCAACCGGAATTTCCGGACATTTTGTGTCGATGGGGCGCTTCCACTTAACCAAAAAATTCCGAAACGGAGACAAATGGCACCGAAGTTCCAGAAAATCCGGAAATTGTTGAATTTCCAAAAAGCGAGCCATACAACCGAAAATTTCGGAAATTCCATAATGAAAATCAAATGGATAGGAAATTTCGCTTCGCTAGTTCTTTTGGCCGCAATCACCACGATCATCCCAGACAAAGATGACGGCGACGTGTATTCGAAAATGGGTTAATATTTTACTTGTAACTTGTCTCTCGATAAATACTTCCCCGTGGGGTACTTGTTTGTTTAGCATAGGTTGTCTATGAAATGTACAGAGACTAGTAATGCGTGCAGAGCCATTGTACCACTCATTAAACCCTTTGTTTTGCGACGTTTTGTGGTTTGCATAAGGTCCCTGCCGTCACAGACGTATTAGTAGGGACTTTAAGATACGCTACGGTGAGGTGCTACTACGTCTACTTTGGCCGTGAGGGACTAGGCTGACAACGGTGTTTTACCCGCCAAACTCAAATGATTTTAAGATTTTGCTTACGGCAACGGTATGTGCAGTCTCTACGTGTCTTTACAATAATGCTACTTTCAAGGAAACCAGAGATTATTCTACTTTCGTAAGAAATAGGCTTGATAAATGACAATGATTTTCTTCTCTTGTATCCGTCTTACATCTCCCAGAACTCAGATTTGCCTTTTAGAACTTGATAGAACCGCCTGTAATTTTAACCACACAACAAAATATTAACTCTGATATAAAAAAGCTCGATTTCAACACGGACAGGTTGTAGTGAAGAGTACGTGAAACCAAGCACTTTCCCGTAGTAGAAAGCAAGGCTACGGC